ATCATCGTCACCATCACCATCACCATCACCATCACCACCACCACCATCATCATCATCATCACAATCACCATCACCATCACCCTCACCATCATCATCATCATCATCATCATCATCATCATCATCATCATCATCATCCTCCACTTCGTCGGCATCGTCGACGTCACCATCATCATCCTCATCACCACAACAAGCCATCATCATCACCATCAACATCACCATCACCATCATCATCAACATCAGCATCAGCATCAACACCAGCATCACCATCACCACAAGCACTATCGTCATCACCATCATCATCAGGACCATGATCATGACCATGATCATGATGATGCTGCTGCTGATGATGATGGTGATGGTCATCATCATCACCATCATCACTATCATCATCACCACCATCACGATCACGATCACCGTCACCATCACCATCACAATCATCACCATCACCGATCACGATCACCGTCACCATCACCATCACAATCATCACCATCACCATCATCAGCATAGGCATCACCACCATCACCATCACCATCACCATCACCATCACCAACACTAACACCATCACCCCACCCTCCCCAACACCATTACCATCACCCCACCATCCCCACCACCATCACCATCACCATCATCATTATCACCACCAACACCTACACCTACACCATCACCAGCACCATCACCACCATCATCACCATCATCACCATCATCACTATCATCACCATCATCACCACCATGACCATTACCACCACCACCGTCATCATCACCATCATCATCACTATCATCATCATCATCATCATCATCATCACCATCATCATCATCACCACCACCACCACCACCACCACCACCACCACCATCATCATCATCATCATCATCATCATCATCATCATCATCATCATCATCATCATCATCATCATCATCATCATCATCATCAGCAGCAACATCACCCTCATCGTCATCATCAACGTGAGCTTGGTCGTGGTCGTGGTCGTTGTCGTGGTCGTGATCGTGATCGTGGTCGTGGTCGTCATCATCACCACCGTCGACCAGACCATCGACCCCAGAATCGTTGCCCAGAAAAGACGAAGAGCGCCCAAACATCCAGGGGCGGATCGGGGGAGGGCTTGTCGGAGAGTCACCGCGCGGTCGGCCGACCCGAAGTCGGTCGGTGTCCAGAGGGAGGGCGGGCGCGAAGGCGACCAGGGAGCTGTGCCCAGGCCCCGCTCCCGCGCAACCCCGGCCTCTGCAAGGCTGGCTCTAGCAGGAGCGGCCCTCCGCCAGCTTCCGCCGGAGGAAGCGCTCTTGTTCCACTTCCAGCCAGCTTCCGCCGACCTTCCACCGAGGAAGAGATGCCGACTCCTTCGGCCCTCGACGAGAGCGGGGCCCCTTCTGGAAGGCCCCAAGAGACCGGCTCTCTTCCTCCCGAGCCGCCCTCGCACGGTCGCGGAGCCCGTGGAGGGCCCACGGGCCCGAGAGCGGCGCAAAACCTCGGGACCCGCCTCCCGCGGGTCCCGCCCTCTCTCATGGGGAGAGCCCTCCTCCAGGCTTCGAGGGCGGAGGGGGTGCGCCGCTCGGAGAGCCGCCGCGCGGTCGGCGCTAGAGCGTGCGCAGCTGTGGCCGCGCGCCCGCGCCGCGCCCCCCCTGGGCGGGGGCGTTCATGATGTTGAAGGCCGCGCCGTTGAGGATGTCCAGCACGTCGCTGTCCGCCGACAGGCCGGCGAAGTGCTGCGGCGCCTGTGCGCGCCGTGGCCGGGCCGCAGGCCACAGGCATGCGGGATCCTGGACCGGCCTCGCGCGCGCCCGCGTGGGGGCAGCCACCGTCGACGACGGCGCCCACGCACGCCGGCGGCGAGGAACACGACGACGACAGACGACGACGACGGGCGACGCGAGCAAGGACGACGGCCCACCGTCGACGACGGCGAACACGCACGCCGACGGCGAGGAACACGACGACGACAGACGACGACGACGACGACGGGCGACGCGAACAAGGACGACGGCGACCACGGCGGCAGGCGCAAATCACGGGCGCCGAGGGGTCGCCGGGAGCCCGGGCCAGGCGCTCCGCCCGCCCGTGATCTCCCAGTGCCCTTGCCAGGAGCCGAAGCCGCTCTTTGTCGCGCAGGGGAGGCGCGGAGGGGAGGAGCGGGGAGGAGAAGGAGGAGGAGCGAGGAGCGAGGAGGAGGAGAAGGGGAGGAGGAGGAGGAGGAGGAGGAGGAGGAGGAGGAGGAGGAGGAGGAGCGAGGAGCGAGGAGGAGGAGCGGGGGGAGGAGGAGGAGGAGGAGGAGGAGGAGGAGGAGGAGCGAGGAGCGAGGAGAAGGAGAAGTGAGAGGAGGAGGAGGAGGAGGAGGAGGAGGAGGAGGAGGAGGAGGAGGAGGAGGAGGAGGAGGAGGAGGAGCGAGGAGGAGCGAGGAGGAGCGAGGAGGAGCGAGGAGGAAGAGGAGGGGGAGGAGGGGAGCACCTACCAAGCATTCGGGCGCTATCAGACACGACTATGGAGGAAGAAAGCACGACATAAGCACAAACTTTCGACAGTCCGCGCGGATGTCTTGGATCTGCGCTGGAGCCCCCTCCCTGGCGCGCGGAGCGCGCCAGCAGCGGCGCCGGAGGCGCCG